AAGAAGTCATCACTCATTGTTTCACCTGATTTTTCTGTAAGACCATAAGGAAATGGAGTTTCTGTTGAGCCTTCCTGACCACCTGGATCATGTTATTTTCCCAGGTGAGATCTTCGCTGAGATGAAGTCCCAGAAATTTGAAAGAGGAGACCCTCTCCATACACCCTGCCTTGATGTAGAGTGGGGCAGATTCCTCTCTCTGCTTCCGGAAGTCTAACATTATCTCCTTTGTCTTGCTGGTGTTTAAATGCAAGTTGTTTTCTAAGCACCATGTGGATAACTTCTGGACTTCTTCCCTGTATGCTAATTCATCTCCTGTAATAAGACCCAGTATGGTGGTATCATCTGCAAACTTTATTATCATATTATATGGATGAGTTGTATGTGTACAATGAGTACAAGTAGGGACTAAGCACACAGCCCTGACGAGAGCCAGTGCTGAGCTTTAGGGAGGAGGATGTGAAAGACCCAGCTCTCACTGTTTGTGGCTGGTCCAACAGAAAGTCTTTAATCCAATCACAGGTGAGAAAAGGGAAATTCAAGTCAGTCAACTTTTTGATGAGGATGTCTGGAAAAATGGTATTTAAAGCCGAGCTGTAATCTATGAAAAGCATTCTGACATAGTTCCCAGGTTTCGCTAGATGATTCCCTACTGTGATGACCCGTAGTCTCTCAAAATAACCCAAAACATACATTAAAGTCTGGTAAGGCCTTCAACTTAACTTCACTGTTTATTAGGCACAGTTTAAAGTCACAAAAGTAAATAATGAGGCAAAAAGAAAACTAAAACCACATTGACGAGAGTTCCGAAGCAAGCCAAGATAACTAATCATACATTCCAGAAGAATAACTGAGGAGAGTCCATGGGAAGAACGCCAGCAAAGATAAGCCTCTTTCAAAGTAAACACTAAACTTTGACTCCAGCAATTCTGACTGCACAGTTACAAACTTATATACATAGCTCCCAGCTGCAAGCCACGAGGAGGACTACGGCAATCTCCTCCTGAGTAGACCTCTCTTTTCCCTGATCCTCTCCTCCCTGCATGACTGAGGATGGATAGGGGATGGGCCTGGATCCTCCTCTGATTGCTCAGCCAGCCTCTGCCCTTCCCCAGCCTCCTCCACCACCTCTGGAGCCACACTCCCACTCCCTGTTGGCTGTTCCTCCTCTTTGTCAGAGTCAGTCTCCACCAGGGGCATGACACTATCCCCCCCACAGGGCCCCCTCCCCCAGGACCAGGTGGACGAGGATGTTGAGGAAACTGAACATGAAGGTCTTGGACCAAACAAGGAGCATGAACATCAGTGGCATTGACCCAGGTGAAGTCCTCTGGTCCATAACCTTTCCATGCCACCAAATGCTGAAATTGGCCTCACAATTGGCATGAATCTCAGATGCTATCCACTTTGTACTCCTCCTCTCCCAGAGGGGCTACTGAAGCCGGCTGTGATGGAGCCGGTCTATGCGGACTGTTGGCCGAGGCAGGGACTAACAGTTAACAATGAAAAACAGGATGGATACACATGATCCATGGCAGGGAGAGACAACAAGCCACAGGATTGATCACCACCTTGACCAGAAAAGGTTCCAAGTAATAGTGATCGTACTTTTTTGATGGTCGCGTCATTGGTAAGTATCGAGTAGAAAGCCAATCCTGATTGCCCACCACTAAAGGCGGAACATTGTGATGATGTCGGTCTGCAAACCATTTATAGACCACCTTGGCTCTCTCTCTAGTTGATTGCAGATCATGTGGTGCACGGCTTTTAACTCCTGCAAGAACGTATCCATTGCCAGAACTGGGGAATCAGACAGGGCTAAAGGAAAAAGTCGTGGATGAAACCCATAGTTAGCAAAAAAGGGGACACATGGGTGGATGCACGTTGAGCATTGTTATAAGCGAATTCTGCCACTGGCAGCACTTCCACCCAATTGTCTTGTTGAATATTGCTGAAACAGAGGAGGTACTGCTCCAAAATAGTATTCACTCTCTCTGTCCCCCCATCAGTTTTGGGGTGATGAGCAGACAACAGACATGCCCGAACCTGCAGTTTCACGAGTAGGGTCTGCCAGAAGTGTGCCATAAATTATACCCCCCGATCTGATACCTTGCAGTCTGGTAACCCATGCAACCGGAAAACATGGTAGATAAACAGTTGAGCCGTTATCTTGGCCGATGGAAGACCCGCACATGGAATAATGTGGACCATTTTAGTCAACATATCCACCACCACCAAAATGGTTGTGGCACCATTCGATGGTGGTAACTCAACAATGAAATCCAATGAAACTGCCCCCCATGGTCATTCTGGCATGGGCAAGGGTTGCAAGAGACCAGGGGGCACACCAGGAGCATACTTGGCTTGATGACACATCCCACAGGATGCCACATATCCCGACACATCATGTTTAAATCTCGGCCACCAAGATGTCCTAGAGATGAGGTGCAGTGTTTTGAACAAGTGTCCCGCTGCCAGATTATCATGACATTGATATAGGATAAGACCACGAAGAGGACCTCCAGGCAACTAAATGTGATCATGGAACTGCAACAGGTCCCAAATATATGCCCAAGGAGTCTCTTGTCTCCCATTCTCATCCAATTCTTGACGTTGAGCTGCCACAAATGGGTCCTGCCATTGCACCTCCTGAATCCTCATTTCAAGGTCCACAGGTTCCTCAGTGGCTGCAAACCGCTCCAATGGAATCACTGTCTGGGGCAAGATTTTATGCTCCCTTCAGATATACTTGGACTTCCGAGATAGAGCGTCGGCGCGTTGATTCCCTCCATTCGGAACATAGGTCACCCAGAAATCAAACTGAGCAAAGAATAAGGACATCTCACCTGACACATGTTTCAATGTCTGAGCTGTATGTAGGTGTTCCAAATTGCAATGATCTGTCCGAACCTCGATTTGGTGACGAGCCCCCTCCAGGTGGTGCTGCCATGTCTCAAAAGCGACCTTAACCGCCAATAACTCCTTGTCCCAAATTGTATAGTTGCGCTCTGGAGCCGACAACTTCCAGGAATAATAAGTGCATGGGAACAAGGTGCCTGCGGGAGCATAGGTCTGGAGGAGCACCGCACCAACAGCCACATCAGAAGCATATGTTTCCACCACAAATGGCTGGCCTGGATCAGGGTGTTTGAGGATAGGCTTGGAAGCAAAGGCAACTTTCAATACCTCGAAAGCTGCCTGCTCCTCAGCACCCCAGTGGAACTTCTCCCCCTTCTTGAGCAGATTAGAAAGGGGAGCAGTCAAGGCAGCAAAGCGGGGAATAAATGTGTGGTAGTAGTTCACAAACCCTAACAGTCATGCACATCCTTAACCCACTGTTGAGGTTCCCACACCTGCAACAATTGTATCTTTTCCAGGTCCATTTCCACCCTGGCAGGTGAAATACAATGTCCCAAGTAGCCAATCATGGTTTGTGCAAACTGACACTTCTTACGTCTAGCAAACAGGTGGTTATCATGCAAACGTTGCAACACCAACCACACATGTTGCCAGTGTTCCTGCAGGGAGTCTGAGTAAATTAAAATGTCATCTAAATAAATGACCATGAATTGATCCAACAAATCATGGAAAACATCGTGCATGAAATGCATGAACACAGCTGGGGCATTGGTTAATCCAAAAGGCATCACGGTATACTCAAAATGCCTGTACCTCATCCAGAAAGCCATTTTCCACTCATCCCCTGCATGAATGCGAACCAGATTGTAGGCTCCACTCAAGTCCAACTTCATAAAGATCTTAGCTTGACGAAGCCGCTCAATCAGTTCAGGGATGAGGGGAAGCGGGTACCGATTCCTCACTGTGATTGCATTCAACTTGCGGTAATCACAACACAAACGTAGCTCCACCAATTTCTTTTTTTACCAAAAGCAGCGGTGCAGCCAATGGGGAGGTAGAAGGCCGGATAAACCCTTTCCAGAGGTTCTTGTCAATAAAATCCTGCAACATGGCCAACTCCGGTTCCAACAGGGAATATATCCGACCTACTGGCAATTTTGCATCAGGCAACATCAGACTGTCGATTTTGCATCAGACTGTCGATTGGACAGTCATACCCCCGATGTGGAGGCAGCTGATCTGCCTCCTTCTCCCCAAACACATCAGCAAAGCCGTCTCTCAAAATAACCCAAAACATACATTAAAGTCCGGTAAGGCTGTCAACTTAACTTCACTGTTTTATTAGGCACAGTTTAAAGTCACAAAAGTAAATAATGAGGCAAAAAGAAAACTAAAACAAACCACATTGACGAGAGTTCCGAAGCAAGCCAAGATAACTAATCATACATTCCAGGAAAATAACTGAGGAGAGTCCATGGGAAGAACGCCAGCAAAGATAAGCCTCTTTCAAAGTAAACACTAAACTTTGACTCCAGCAATTCTGACTGTGCAGTTACAAACTTATATACATAGCTCCCAGCTGCAAGCCACGAGGAGGACCACGGCAATCTCCTCCTGAGTAGACCTCTCTTTTCCCTGATCCTCTCCTCCCTGCGTGACCGAGGATGGATAGGCGATGGGCCTGGATCCTCCTCTGATTGCTCAGCCAGCCTCTGCCCTTCCCCAGCCTCCTCCACCACCTCTGGAGCCACACTCCCACTCCCTGTTGGCTGTTCCTCCTCTTTGTCAGAGTCAGTCTCCACCAGGGGCATGACAACTACAGACTATAGGGTAGTAGCAATGACATCATCTGTCCATCTATTTCCTCTGTAGGTGAACTGATATTAGTCAAACTTTGATGGAAGGAATGACCTGAGGTGTTGAAGAACCAATCTCTCGAAGCACTTCATCACTACAGATGAAGTTAGTGCAATGGGTCTGTAGTTATTCATGCTGTTCCTTGCTGTTTTCTTTGGGATTGGAATGACAGTAGCTGCTTTCAGACATGATAGAACACTGTCCGTTTGCAGGGATATGTTAAAAATCCTTGCTGGGACCTCTGATAGTTGGTCAGCACATGTTTTTCCACTATCCCCAACACCCCATCTGGACCTGCAGCTTTATTGGAATTCATGGCCTTCAATACAGCTCCCACTTGGTGTTCATGCAAGGTGAATGGCTGGGAGTTGGAGGGTCAGCATGCTGGGGCTACAGAGTCAGGTCTCTTGACCTTGTAGTGAGCAAAGAAGATGTTCACCTTACCTCAGCCAACGAGGCATCGGAGTTGACTGTCTTCATCGTATTGCCCTCATAGTTGGTTCGGTGCTGCAATCCCTGCCATACCTGCCTCGGGTTGTTGTCTGCTAGATGGTTCTCCACCTTTTGTTTTTATTTTTGTTTAGCTACCTTGATGCTTCTCTGTAGATTTGCCCTGGCATCATTGTATTTATGTATGTCACCTACCTTAAAGGCAGAGTTCTAGGCTTTCAGAAGTGTCCATTCCTCTGCTGACATCCAGGGTTTGCAATTCCCATAGACTCTGATGCACTTGTCCACTGTTACATTATCTGTGCACATTTTGGTATATGAGAGTACGATGCCAGTGAATTTTTGCAGTTCCAAAAGTTCAGATATACCCCATTCAGTAGTCTCAGAGCAGTCTTACAACTGGCAGAGTGCTCCCTCCGGCCAGATTTTAACAGTTTTCCTGACTGGCCTAAGGGGGATATACTTTGGGCACAATAGCAGAGAGATGTGGTCAGACAAACCCAGATGGGAGAGGGGGGTTGCTCTATATGCTTGTCTTAAGTTTTGAATACATATAGTTTAAAGTGTTCTTACCTCTGGTAATACACTGCACATACTGCACAAACCTAGGATGAACAGACTGTAGACAAGCTTGATTAAAATCCCCAGCCATGACAAAAGCGCCCTCAGGATAAGTTTGCTGCTGCTTCTCGATGGCGTCATGTAACTTAGAGAGCGCTGTTCTAACATTTGCATCAGGTGGACTATAGCCAGCAGTGATAACTATAACAGAAATCTCTCTAGGTAAATAAAATTGTCAACAAATGACAGTTAAGAATTCCACATCTGGAGAACAGTGTGTATAAGTAACTCTGCTGTTAGTATTCCAGTCATTATGTGTGTAAACATAAAGTCCTCCATCTTTGCTTTTGCCGGAGTTGCTGTTTCTGTCAAAGCAGTGTGTGGTGCGATTAGTTAGCTCCACTGACGTGTCCTGTACAAGTGGATGAAGCCATGTCTCCATGATAATCATCACACAGCAGCTGTGAATGAGCTTATTTGCCACCATCCATAGCTCAAGTTCATCAGTTTTGTTGACAAAGGATCTAGCGTTGATTAGAAAAATGTTTGGTAATGCTGGTCTGTGAGGCTGTTTCTGTAACCAAGCTAGCAAACCAGCTCTACATCGCTGCCTCTGGTTCATCTCTCTTCACTGTCGACACCACTTCTCAGGCCCAACAACAATCCATGAAGAGCCTGACAGTCTTACTACATCACTTGGTATATTATGAGACCACTGGAAGTTGCTGGTAATATCTAGTCGACTCCAATCTTTAGTAACTCCCTGCAGGTATAGACTTGGTTTTTGCCCACTCACTCCATTATAATACCAGGAGCTCAAAGCTGCAGCGTCTATGCGTGCTGCCATCTTGGATGGGAAAAAAGAACAATTTAAGAAACAATTGTAGATATGAAGACATGCTGAACTATTCATCCTGTACACAGACCTCTTATTTCCAATCAGTGGATATTTTCAGAGAGAAGACCAGTTACTTCCCTGTAATCATAATTTCAAATCTGTAGCTTTTTTTTGTTAGAACAATAAGATTCTAAAGCTTCCAGAATCTGAGAGATGAGGCAATTAGAAAACCCTGGTTCTCCTGTTGGGGAGTGCAAAATGCCCTGTTTCAAGCTCAAAACTGTCCAACCATGTCTGGAATGAACCATTTGGGCTTAAAATAATTGAGGTAGTCTCAACTTGAAATGTTTCAAGTTTGAAAAGCTTTTTGTGTACTCCTAATTCCTGCTTTGTCATATTCATTGCTAATTTACAATGTACAGAATAATAGAATATTGCATGCACAGATAGAAAGATTCACCACAAGGTACAATGAAGATTTATGTATATACATACACACACGTGTGTGTGAGTGTATGTATATGTATATGTGTATATGTATATGTATATATACATGTGTGTGTGTGTGTGTGTGTGTGTATATATAAATATAATTCAGCTTTGTTTGGGTATTTTCCCACGTCATTATAGTTGTGCTTTTAAAGTTGTAGCAACGTTTCGGCAGAATCTCATCTGCCATCATCAGGCTTCTGTATTGTGTTTGTCTGTGAGTCAGACTTTTACAGTTGCTTCAGTTTTAAATTTGGGGCTAGCCTACTGCTGTGCCAGAATGGTTTTTTCTTCATCCTGATTGGCTGGGAATCTTGGTCTGTGTTTATTTGTCTTGAAGTTTGCTGTGTTCTGCTTGATTGGTGTTTCTAATATCTTCTGTCTGATTTGTAACATTTTTTGTCTTGATTGGCTGGCAACATTGTGTTGCTGTATTGGAGGCTTTTAGTGCAGCTTGGCTCCAAGTGAATGGACGGCTATCATTTATTAGGAAGCTAGGTTTCATCTGGGTGCCTGGTTGGGGTGTGTTTGAGCTGGAGGTATCGGGGGGGGGTCTGTTTGTACCCAGGTGTTTGCCTGGCTAGTGGTGTGGAGATTTTTTTGTTTGTGAGTGCAGGCTTCCAAATAATTGACAGTCTGGTGGAATCATCTCTTCTATTCATGCTTTCAGGTCTTTTTTCAATCTCTATGGCTTCTCTGATAATTCTGTAGCTGGGGTTTTCTATAGTGGCTAGGGTTTTGGTGCCATTGAAGTTGATGCTATGACCTGTGGCTTTCATGTGTTGGGTTAGTGAGGAAGTATGTTCCAGCTTTTTTACTGCGGGTACTTATTCTTCTATTGGTCTGTCCAATATATATGGCAGGGCATGATGCACAGGGGACTTCATATATGCCTTGGTTTTCCAGGTCAATTTTATCCTTGGGGTTTCTAAGGATGGCTGCTATTTTTCTGTCTGTTTTGAAGGCAGTCTTGATGTGATGCCTGTGTAGTATCTTACTGATTTTGTCTGTAGTACCTCTTATGTAGGCCAGGACAGCTGTTCCATAGGTCTGTTCATCTTCTAGGTCTCCATTATGTCTCAATGTGTTTTTGTGGATCAAGCCAGTGATTTTGCTTTTGTGGAAGCCGTTGGCTGTCAGTACTTTAGTCATGGTGCATAGTTCAGTCTTTAAGTGCAGCTTTAGTGCATTTACTTGGAGCCAAGCTGCACTAAAAGCCTCCAATACAGCAACACAATGTTGCCAGCCAATCAAGACAAAAAAAGCCACAAAACAGACAGAAGATATTAGAAACACCAATCAAGAAGAACACAGCAAATTCCCAGACCAATAAACACAGACCAAAACTCCCAACCAATCAGGATGAAGAAAAAACCATTCTGGCACAGCAGTAGGCTAGCCCCAAATTTAAAACTGAAATGACTGTGAAAGTCTGATTCACAGACGAACACAATACAGAAGCCTGATGATGGCAGATGAGATTCTGCCGAAACGTTGCTACAACTTTAAAAGCACAACTATAATGACGTGGGAAAATACCCGAACAAAGTTGAATACCATACATGTAAGTACCCATGAAAACTTAAGAAAACAAATGAAAAATATGATTTCAGAATAGAAAATAATGTTTATTTTATATATCTAAAGTAGGCTACAATATATAATCCCTTTGCTATGCATGAATATAATTAGTGAAGTGAAAAAATTATTGATTTCATAATGAAGACCAAAATTTTCCACTTGATGCTGAATTTTTCCTGTAACCATCCTGATGATTCATTGTATGCTATCACATTGTGTTGTGCAGGCAGCTCTTATATGTTACAGATTGCAGATGCCTTTTATTGGCTTAATGTGAATATTATTGCCACAGTTTATTACCAAGACCTATCTTATAGTAATTGAAATACAATATGGTACCATTAATCACTCTGAATGCAAAATGTTAACTTTACAGCATTCACAGAATGCATTATTAAATGCTGCTTGAAACATAAAATGATTTGATTGCAATGGAACAGTTTAGAAAACTGCATGATTTGCAGTGCAATCCTTTTAGGCAAATGCAATGGATATGACACTTTGCATTTCAATTGCCATAAAATTTTCTGCAAATTGCCTAAATTTTACATTTTTCACTGTAGCTGAATGCTAATATCTTTCAGGAAAAAAATGAATTAGTAAACAGTAAAAATATTAAAGTGTATATGAATGTGGAACACCTGGTATGATTGGTTCATTGCCTTAAAAACAGTCCTCCTTCAGCAACCAACTGCAACTCAGTCATTAAGCAGGTGAAACTGCAACTGTCCTTATTATCTTTTGTTTTACAGATTTGCAAAGGTTATAAATGTGGTCATAAAATTACTTTTTCATCATTGTAATTGCAAAGGGTTGCTAAATGAAGCAGTTGCTAAAGGAAAACTACTTTTAAACCCTGCAATAATCAAGCAATAATATTTCACTACATATTGCAGCAGGCTTCTTTTCAGTATGATGAGATCTACTCCTTTAGAGCCAATCAGTATTCTTTATCCTGCTAACAAATAGGAATGCATTTAAAATATTATTCAAACAAGACCTTACCCAAGGCAGTTTCATCTCTCTACATAAAAAGAACAAAAATGACTGATGGTTATTTCCATATTTTCACTACATTAATGGTCCATTCAATACAATAATGGTCACTTGTTAGTAAAGCAAATAAACAATGAGCATTTCACTAGAAGGAAGCTACTGCTGATTGAACCATGGTTTGTCTGGAATTTTAAAAAATCCCATTCACAGTTGTGAAGGTGTCACATAATTTGTAGCTCAGGGTTGGACTACCCTTGGTGTTCTCTAAGCTTGGTTGTTTTCTTGCAGATGCTTCATTACCCAGTTTGGTAACATAATCAATAGTAGAAAGAACAGGATTTGCTCTTTGGGAAGAAATATCCTTCTGGGTTCAGTTCCAAGTGGGGAAAATGACACTGGAAACATGGAGACTGTTTGGAAAGATGGTTTAATGGACAGGATCACATACCTTGGAGGTCCTGAGCGAAAAGGAAAGAGGTGCTGAGAGTCTTTTGTATGCTCTCTGTTGGAATTTGAATTTGAGCTTGTATTCTGATTGGTTGTCAGACTCCCATGTGGTCATGCAGGGACAACTCTGTAGGCTGTCCTGAGTCCCAGGCTTGGTTGATGATGTAATGAAAGGGCTTTGGGATTCCTGTTATGAGTCTGCCTGAAGGAGGTAAACCAAAGGTCTTCAGACTTGGCAAGTTTAAGACTTGTGCACTTCAACTTCCAGAATTTCTGAGCTAACATGACTGAAGGAGGAATTCTGGGAGTTGAAGTCCACAAGTCTTAAAGGTGTCAAGTTTGAAGACCCCTTATGTAGACCTTTGTTATGTAGAGTAGACTGGCCCAGGCCTTAATGGCCCATTAGCAAAGGTAGCGGGGCTGACTTTCTGCCTCTCTGACTTTCTGCTTCTCTTTTAGGGGAAATATTCTGCCTTTTTAGTATATCCTAAAATATTTCATTTTCCTAGGAGGGGAGTAGGTTTTAACTTCCAACAGCTCTGTTTATGTGCAAGTGGCTTGCCCTGTCAGTGTTGGTGGGAATGTTCTTGGTAGTTCCTTGATAAGGTAATAGGAACTACAAACTCAGACAAACAATCAAACAGCTTGTAATGCCTGAAAAAAAACAACCAACTTCAGAGAGTACTAAGGACCTCACATGTCATATAATGCCAGCAATTTTGTCACCAGGTGCTTTCCCCAGTATCTTTAATATCCCGACAGTTGACTCTAGCAATGTCTGAAGTGCAGAAGAGAGAGAAGCAGGGAAGAAGGACAGTGCTCAGGGACTTTCCAATTGGGGCAATATATCAATACCATTAAACATACAAATTCTAAATGAACTTTTTTTTAAGAATGTGGAACCTAAAATATTGTACACTGGAAGGAGATGTCTGCAGGATCTTTACTGCTTTTGCCAAATGAAAAAAAAATGCAGTGTCACACTGCAAGCTGGACCCTTTTCACACATGAATATAATGCCATAAGATATGTACAAAAGGATGGGGTCACAATAATGCTGCTTTTGCCATTCTTCCCTTTTTCACAAATACTACTAGGGATTTCTGTATTATCACCATTTCCACCCAGTTAGAATAACCAGTGTTCCTTAACCACTCCCTCCCTCCACTCAGAAGGGAAAGAAAAGAACCTTTAAAACTACCCGGGCTGGTATATTGCATGGTACCTGTCAGCTTCCCCATTGCTAAATTAAGCCAGCGTTCTTCCTGAAGTGCCTGGATAGTATGTCTGAAGCTAAAAAAACTGGAATCACAAGAGGCAGGGCTGCTTCCAGTGGAGAACTGAATCCCTCCCCGACTCCGCACAAGCCCTGCAGAGCTTCAGTACTGCAGATAGCAAGACCACTTTTGTTCAGCAATTTGGGCATTACTCTGGTGAGGAATAAATTGTCTCAGCTGACATGTGGGATCACAAAGGTCCATAGTTGTTTTTGAACAGCAGAGTTATCGAATGGAATCATGCAAAGAGGCTGTGAAAGCCAATCCTGTTATTTTACATCATTGAAACAATATTATTTAATTCAGATAATAGGTTAAGAATATGCTTAAACCATTCATAACAGATTATAGGGATTTTCAAACAGTTTAATTTTAGTTTGTTGATTAAGGTGGTAATATAACAGTAAGGCCCACTATACAGACCAAGTTGGGGAAAATCTTATTTTTGGATTCTCTCTGGGGAAAAAAGTAAGCTACACAAATTTTTACAGGGAAATATGAGTGTATGTAATATGAAATGAGACTCCATGGGAAGTATTCACCTGTTGCTCTTAATGTCAGGCATGAAAGAAGGAACAGCCATACAAACCCTGTTATTCTTTCTTTGTGTCCACCTTAACAACAGCATGTTTTGAGTGGTTTTGATGAGCCTCAGTGATGTTTACTTTTCTGAACTCTATTGTGTGGTTTGATACAACTCAATAGCTTAATAAGTACATGTGCTAGGAAATCTAATAGAAAACAGATTTGTGCTAAGGAACATCTTCAACTCAGTTTCAATCACACTTGTCCATCTATAATATTAAGACATTTATTTTTATCAAGTGCTTTCATGAAACTTCAACTATGCAATTCTAAGTGGTATATTGCAACATCATAACACAATAAATGTACTACTAGAAAACCAGTAAAATTACATCCAAAGAATGCAAACTCAACACCATAATCCATATCCCTCTCATTTATTTCAAGCACAATCTCATTTCACCATCTGGAGTATTCTTTGAGCAGACCCATTTTTAACCAACTTCCTAAATGATCTTACAATTGGTGGCAGAATTCTCTACAAGAATGGAGCTTCTGAAGAAAATACTCATTTCGAATTCCTTTTTTAACATATCTCGTGAAGGATAAGGAAGTATTCCTAGGAAGTAAGTATTCTTTGCAGGTATGTCTTGGGTGGGCCAATCCTATTTGGAGTAAGTGGTCTTGCAGTAATCGGGCACCAAACTGTATAAGACTTAAAAATGATAATCGGCACCTTGAACAGTGCCTGTAAACAAAATGGTAGCCAAAGCAGCTCAAGAGCATTCTGTAATAGCTGCAGTTTCAAGATGTACTACAAAGTCAGTGCTACACACAGCACATTGTAGCACTTCAAATATGAAATTATGAGGCCATGAATTACTGTAACCAGAGCTTTCTGTTCCAGGAAGAGCTATAATCACACCAGCCATAATTGGGCAATGACCCTCCAATTATGGCTTTCACCTGCTATTTCAGCAGTACCTGGGAATCTAGGATAACTCTCAAATTGCATACTGGCTCTTTCCTAGGAAATACAACATACAGTTGTCCAAAATGTAATTGGCTCCTGTACCAGCAGTGCCTCCATCTTATAGGGTTAAGCTTTAGCTGGTTCCTCTCCAACCAGGCACTTAATGAAATCATGGGATAAGAATTGTACCTCATCTTCCAAGAGATGATCTGGAGTAGAGATGCATAGATGAATATTGTCTTCATACTAATGATACCATGCTCCAAATCCCTGAATGTTCTCTCTCAGCAGTTTGATGTAAATGTTAAAAGGGATGAGAAGTTCATACCCTGAGGCAGGGTGCACTGGAATGCCCTAAGATTGTACTTTTCCTCCTCCACATTTCACATGCTGGAACCTGCTGCTCAGGAAACAGCACAGCACCACAGAAGAGCCATACCCCAAGAAGTTTTAGAATTTAGAGGGCTCTTTATTAGAGGTGCTTTTGTGAATCAAAGTCATCGATTCAATTATTTTTATAATGTGATTATTGTTTGGTATTATTAGCATGGAATACATATACATTACTATTCAGTATCAAACACCAAAATTGGTGGGGAGATAGATAGATAGATAGATAGATAGATAGATAGATAGATAGATAGA